ATTTGGTATTTTATAAATTTATATTTACAATAATTGAAATCTGAATTAGGAATTTAATTATATAAGAAGAATAGTGAAATTTAAATTTAATTATAAAAATGTGTTGGCTGGCGGGGCGGACAGGCCCTCTGGGCCAAGCCCAGTTTGCAACATTTAACCATCAGCATTTTATGTAAATAATTATTTTTTTGCAAAGATTTGTGTCATTAATATTTTGAATTTTATAAATTTATATTTATAAAAATTAAAATCAGATTTAGGAATTTAATTATAAAAGAAGAATTATAAAATTTTAATTTACTTATAAAAATGTGTTGGTAGGGCTGGCCCTCCGGGCTGAGCCCAGTTTTGTCACCTCTAACTATTAGCATGTAATAGGTTTTTATGTTTATCCACACAAAAAAGGCTCTTATAGTTGCGTCTAGATTTTTATATTTTTTCTTATAGATGAAGTTTCATTTATTACAATTAGATTTACAAAATAATAAAAAAAAATTGCAAGGATTTGTGTCATTAGTATTTGGAATTTTATAAATTTATATTTATAAAAATTAAAATCTGATTTAGGAAATTTTTTATAAAAGAAGAAGGGTGCAACTTTAATTTAATTATAAAAATATGTTGGCACGCGGGTCAAGCAGGCCCTCCGGGACTAGCCCAGTTTTTCACCTTTAACTATCAACATTTTATTTTATGTAAATAATTATTTTTTTGGAAGTATTGGTGTGCTTAGTATTTTGAATTTTACAAAATTGTATTTACAAAATTTGAAATCGGATCTAGGAATTTAATTATAAAAGAAGAAGTATGAAATTTTAATTCAATTATAAAAATATTTGGTGGGCCGGCCCTTTGGGCCGAGCCCATTTTGCCACCTCTAACTATCAGCATGTAATTGGTTTTTATATTTATCCACAAAAATGGCTCTTATAGTTGAGTCTAGGTTTTTATATTTTATCTCAGTGATAAACTTTCATTTATTACAATCAGATTTAAAAATTAGTAATAAATAATTATTTTTTGCAAGGATTTGTATCGTTAGAATTTGAAATTTTATAAATTTGTATTTATAAAAATTGAAATCATATTGTTTTTCATTAATTCTAAGAGAAGAAATATGTGCACAAAAGTTCATTACCAAATGAAAAAACTCAATAACACATATCCTATTTATACACAAAATATTTGTATTTTTTATACAAAATATTTTTGTTTTTTTAACGATTAGTTTTTAACAAAATAATTTTTTTTATGCAGCATTAATGTGGTTAACAATTACCCATGTAGAAAGAAATGAGATAATAAATGAGCTGTCTGCAACCAATAATTGTCCAAATATTTTTTCACCACTACAAAGTTTAAAATTCAAAATTGAAATTTAAATAAAATTTGAAATTTAAATAAATATTTCAGAAAGCAATGAGTTATTTAATAATTTGGAAATTCTAATGTAGAAAGGAGTGGGATATTATATGAGATGTCTGCCACAAAAAAATGTTTACATAATTTTTATTTTTATTTAGTTACAAATTTCGATTTTATTTTATATTTACTTAATTTAAAATATTTGCGGGTTTTTTACAAAATATTTTTTGTTTTTTTAATGATTATTTTTTGTTAAAAAATAGTTTTTTTATGTAGCATTGACTAGGTTAACAATTACCCATGTAGAAAGTAATGAGATAATAAATGAGGTGTCTGTCACCAATAATTGTCCAAAATTTTCCACCACAACAAAGTTTAAAATTCAAAATTCAAATTCAAAATTAAAATTTAAATGAATTTCAAAATGTAAAATAAATATTTCAGATAGCAATGAGTTATTATTAATTTGAAAATTCAAATGTAGAAAGGAGTGCGATATTAAATGAGTTGTCTGCCACAAAAAATTTTCATATAATTTTCCATTTTATTTATTTACAAATTTCAATTTTATTTTATATTTATATAATTTAAAATATTTGCTTTTTTTCCAAAATATTTTCGTTTTTTTAACAAAATAGTTTTTTTTATGCAGCATTGATATGGTTAACAATTACCCATGTAAAAAGTAATGGGATAATAAATGAGTTGTCTGCCACCAATAATTGTCCAAATATTTTCCCACCACTACAAAGTTTAAAATTCAAATTCAAAATTGAAATTTAAATATTTCGAAATTTAAAATAAATATTTCAAATAGCAATGAGTTATTATTAATTTCCGATTTTTTTTTTGGTAAAATAGAGGGGAAAACCCCCGAAAACAATCAAGTCAAAACAACCCTACGAAAATTACAAACCAAAGAAAAATCTGTCAAATACAAAGGCAAAATAGCAGGGGGAGGAGAAGGAAAAAAACATAAATTACTCTCCATATGATGGTCCAATGGGAACTTGGATAGCCAGTCAGCACAACTATTGCATTCTCGATATGCATGTATCAAATGAACCTCCCAATCCTTTTGTAACCATGCTCGAATGCGAGTCACCAAACGAGACTCTCGAGCTACTCTACCATTCTTGGTGAGTAAAGTGATAACTGAGCTAGAATCACTTTCTAATAAGCAACGTCTCCAACCACCAGTCCAAGCTGCTTCAAGACCTTTAAGGACACCCCATAATTCAGCAACAAACGTTGAACATTGACCTATGTCATAAGCCAATCCCTGAAGCCAACAACCAGATTCATCCCTGATGACCGCACCACAAGCAGCCCCACCACCAGCACCCCTAGCTGCCCCATCAGTATTAATTTTTATCCATGTTGACTCCGGGGGAATCCAACAAACAGAAATAAATTCATGTGTCCTTCTAGTCTTAACACCATAACAGCTTAACCACGCTTGATCGTACTCCTTAACTCGCTGAGTTATATTATCGGTTTTATAAAAGTACCAATCAAATGCACCACCATGTATAATATTATTTCTCCACAACCAGGCATGCCAAACAGTCACAGTAAATACCAAAGACCAGGGAACATTAAAAATCCTCATCGAATCAAGGCTCAAATTTAACGAAAGCCAATTTTCAAATTCAGCAGTAAAGAATTCACTTACCATATCAGGATATAAAAGATCTAACCAGACATTTCTGATTCTTCTACAATCTCTGGCCATGTGTAATATGGACTCCTCAGCACCGTTACACAATGGGCAGGAAGCAGCAGACTGATTTAACATTGACAACATCTTCTTGGTTGGCAGACGATTATGAGCTGTCTTCCATATAAAAACACTGATTCTATTTGGTCCTTTAAACTTCCAAATCTGAGACCACACGTTGTTCTCTTGAGGAATTTCCTCTGAATGATTTGCCAAAGTATTGTACAGTTGCTTGATTGTTACCCCACTTGAACTAGGAAGATCCCACAATAATCTATCAGGCCCATTAGAAACATGAGGTGGCAGGTGACCTCTAATTACCTGAATAGTTTCCTGTGGAAGGCAATTGGACAATTCGCTGCAATCCCAAGATCCATCCTCTGTCACAAAATCCATAACTTTTCTTCCAAAACTTGCCTGGGGAATAGGAGCAGTAGCTTTACTAGCTAAATTACCTTCGTGATCTAACCAATTATCTTCCCAAAAATCAATAAGAGAACCATCCCCAACATCCCAAATCAGTCTTGGTTTTAGCTTATGCCATATAACACACATGAATTTCCACAATCGAGAGTGGCCAATCTTCGCAATGAATCCCTTATGAACATTATCGGTATGGATATACTTAGCCTTCAAGACTTTTGCCCAAAGCTGATCTGGATCATTAAGGAAAAACCAAATTAATTTTCCCAAAAAAGCTTCATTCATGATAGACATTCTTCGAAGCCCCAAACCACCTAAACTTTTTGGTTTAGTAATAGTATCCCAACTGATAAGGATGCATGTGCTTTTTATTCACCGAGTCACCCCAAATAAAAGACCTCTGAAGATGTTCCAGTTCATTGCAAATCGATTTGGGCAGCATGCTGCTTTGCATATTATAATATGGAATAGTGGACAAAACTGATTGTGCCAAGGTCACTCTGCCGGCTTGGGAAAGAGACTGAGCTTGCCAACTATTCAATCTCTCCTTCACTCTATCAACAATACTAGCAAACAGATTTTTAGTCACCCTCCCATGGTTGATCATTGCTCCAAGATACTTACCAATATTTGAAACTCGCTTAAACCCACTTCCTGCTGTGATTTTATTAGCTACATCCTCAGGAGTGTTTTTAGAAAAATACACACTGGTTTTTTGATCACTAACTTTTTGACCAGAAATTTCACTAAACAAATTCAGACAGCAGAGAAGGATATGCAATTGGTCCTCACTAGCTTCCAAGAATAACATAAGATCATCCGCAAATAATAAGTGAGAAATTTTTGGACCACTTTTCCCAGCTCTTATCGGTTTCCACAATCCTCCATTGTCAGCAATGTCTATAATATGGGAAAGTTTCTCCATAGCAAGGACAAAGAGATAAGGAGCCAAGGGATCTCCCTGTCTGATGCCTTTACTAGGCTGGAATTCATCTGACAAACTACCATTCCAAACCAAACTGGTTTTAGGGGAGGTTACAGCCGACATTATGAGCTTAGATAAATAGTCAGGAATCTGGACTTCTTCCAATACTAGTCGAATGAAATTCCAGTTGAGCCGATCATAAGCCTTCTCAAGGTCCACCTTCACTACCATAAAACTCTTCTTCCCTCTCATCTTCCTCATGGAATGGACTAATTCCTGAACAATAATAATGTTATCCTTGATATGCCGTTGAGGAACGAAACTAGTTTGAGCAGGAGAAATAACTTTAGCCATAATTGGTTTTAAACGGCTAACAATTAATTTGCTGATAACTTTGTAAATCACAGGGCAAAAGGAAATTGGCCGAAATTGGCTGATATAAACAGGCATATGGATTCTGGGGATCAAAACAAGAAGAGTAGAGTCTATAGATGCCAGAAGCTCAGGATAATTCCAAATCTGATGAACTAGTGAACAGAATTGACTTTTAACCATTTCCCAATTTTTCTAATAAAAAATTGCAGGAAAACCATCAGTACCTGGAGCTTTGAAGCCTCCCATGTTGAAATTTGCTTGCTTTATTTCCACCTCATTTGGAGTCTTGCTAAGATAAGTTTGATCACCAGAGGGAATAGATGGCCAGAGATTCCATGACGAAATCCATCTTCTCTCACAGACATCTTCAGAAAATAAAACTTTGAAAAAGTTACACGCCATATTTTTAAGCTCAAGAAGATCCGACACCCACACTTCACTATCATTCTTGAGTCTAAAGATTTTGTTTGAGTTTATCCTGACCACAGTACTTAAATGGTAGAATATTGTGTTTCTATCCCCATCCATTATCCATTTTTGCCTAGACTTCTGAAACCAAAAAAGTTCCTCCTCGTGAAGCACTTCTAACAACAAACTTTGGCATTTTTCTTCCAAATTCTTCAAAAAAGAAGTGTCATTTTGTTCTCTGTCATGCTGAATATTGGAAATTCTCTTCATAATGGAACTTTTCCTTCTATCAATATTGCCAAAAATTCGCTTATTCCATTCCTTAATATCCGGTACCAACCTTTGGAGCATATACGGTAAGTCAAATCCATGATCCCACTTAGTCTGCAGGAAATCTTTAAATAAGTGGTGCTCTTGCCAAGCAGCAAAAAAACAGAAAGGCTTCTTACCATTATTTCTGTGGTCCTCAAGCAACTTTGATAAAAGGGGATTGTGATCAGAAAACAATCTTGGAAGAGATGAGACTCTAGCATCATCAAACAGAAACCTCCACTCAATGTTGGCTACTACTCTATCTATTCGTTTATAAATTCTTCCCGTATTACCCCATTTGGGGCCTTGCCAAGTAAAGGGTGAGCCATCACACTCCAAATCAGCAACCTGGCACTCATTAAGAATAGAAGCAAACTTAGCACACTTTGAAGGATCAACTGCTACACCCCCTTTTTTCTCATGAGAGTAAGCAATTTCATTAAAATCTCCACCTAATATCCAAGGACCCATTATAGTATCACTAAGATTACGCAATTCATCCCAAAGCTTTTCTCTTAAATTCTGTGTAGGACTTGCATAAACAGTCGTAAAATCAAAAATCTTACCAATGGGAATTTTGATCTTGCAATGGATGGATTGAGAAGATGGAGATACAACTACCACTTCTATCTTCTTTGAGTGCCACATAATCCATATCCCACCAGAAAACCCTTGTGCTTCTTCAACTATGAGACTATCAAACCCCAATTTTTTCATCAATTTTCTACACACTTCACTACTAGTTCGAGGTTCCAACAGAACAACAACATCAACAGAGTACTTCCTTATCATAGTCTTAAGAGCACCACCAAGTTCTCTCTTAGCGGCCCCTCTAGTATTCCAGATGATAAAATTCATCAATAACTAGGTTGCATATCTGCAGGGTTTAGGGGAACCTGCACCACCTTTTCCTTTTGCAAAAAGCCTTCTTCATCTACACTAAAATCCAGTTCATTTACCTCATCATATTGACTTCTGTCCTCAACCATTGGATTTGGTGGTTTTGGATCCAAAACACCACCTGCAGATTTATGAACAGGTCCCCCTGCACTAGAAATCTGCCTCTGAAAATTATTGTTGGCAGAGATAGGAGGATTGGCCACATTACCCGAAGTTACTGTCTTAGTCAATGGCCTTTTAAGAGATGGACGAGTCTCTGTCATTGCATTCTTCATAGAAGATTTAATTATCCCACTCCCATTACCAATTGACTTTTTTCCAACATTGTTGTTACCAGACTTCACACTTTTGCTCTCTTCTCTACTTTGATCACCAGCAAGTATATATCGTGATTTTGTTTCCACCAAAGCCTCTGGTTGATGAGAACTCTTCCTGTTTTTTGGATTGAATGGAGCTCTGCGAGGGTGATTGGTACACCACCATTGTTCCTGGTTGAACCCCTGCATCTTCTTCAATTTCCTGATCTTTCAACATAATAAATTTGTTTGATGTCCATGTAATGGTCTTATCTTGTTTCTCTTTAGCAATTTCATTTTTGAACCCCTGGTTGCTCTTACTTCTTTTTCCCCTTACCACTTGCATCCAAGGCCCAAATTTAAGAGTTTCCACTTCTGCTCCCGAAGGCATTTCTCGTTGACTATATTGGACACCCTTATCCCATTCACTTTCAAGAGATCCTTGATTTGGCTCCTTAGTAGAAATGACCAGACAATTCTCCATTCTATGTCCATATTTGCCACAACCGTAGCAGATGAGATTTAAGCCCTCATATTCCACCCTCTTTATTTTTCCTTCCACTTTGTACTCCCCTTGAAGAGGTTTCGTGAGATCTAACTCAACACACAATCTCGCAAACCTTCCCCTCGCAAGAGATGTGGTAGCTGCATCAATCTTCACAAATTTCCCTAGCCAGTTACCAATACTTTTAACCAAATCCGTATTCACGTACTCAATAGGAAACTCAGGAAGGGGAATCCAAGCCATGACCCTGTTGATCGAAGCATGAAAAGGTTGGAAGTCTGGCTCCCAAGATCTAATTGCTAGATGGTGGTCAAAGATTACCCATGGCCCTGCCGAGAATGCAAACTCCATATCTTTTTTTTTCTCAAAACGAACAAGGAAATATTCATTCTCCAAGTCAGTCACAAAAATCCGACCCTCCCTTCCCCACATATTTTCCATTTTTCTCTCATGAAAATTAGAGATACCTTCTTACCCAATAGCTTCACGAATATAGCTTGATGCCAATTCTTCCAAACTCTTTTTTTAAATTCAGCCGACAATCTGAAATTCATCCTGCCATCAGCAACTTCCTCACACATAACCTCTGTATTGTCCTTCAGCTTTTCAGAATTAGGCTCTTCTGACCGTTCCTCCATTTTCTCTTCATTCTCCTTTACGAAATCATCTTCCCATTCTCCATTGTGGCGCATAAGGATTTCCTTGAAAGATGCATCTCCAGACATCCAGTCTTCCTCTCTTGGGACCTTGGTCTGATCCTCGCAGAAACCTCCATCTCCCCCCTTTAAAGGTCAAAATACTGATCATTTTAGAAAATGAATATTAAAACAAAAGATTTTATTGAATGCAGGACGTATAGTGATATAGTTGCTGCAATTACCAATACGGAACGTATAATGGTGTAGTTGCTGCATTTTGGTTCGTTTTAGATCCAATAAATATAACAATAAATGCCCCCTTTTATTTTTCAAATTAAACATGTTTACATCATTAATTTACGTAATAAGTGCTAATATTTAACAAATATTAAAAAAGAATTTAAACCTTGATCGTCGCAAGTATAATTACGTTACTAACATTTTTTTAAAGTCAATAGAGTTGTTACTTATTGCTTTGCTGGTCTTGCAGGATAGTTGGGAAGTTAATGGTTGAGAAATTAACGTTCATTCGTTCCTTCTATGTGCGCATTGTTTTGTCACTTAATTTCTATATTAGTCTAACTCGGGTTCAAATATTGCCTGTGTGTACTTTGAAAAGTGGTATAAAAATGGGAAATAAGAGGAAAAGTGTGCTACAATTAATATTTTCTCTTAATTAAAACAGCTCGCTATATTACAACTGAACAAACCAAAAAAGATGAAAAGAAAAACACAGAATAAAAGAATGATTTGAGATTTGTAGCAGATCATCCAATGATGTGGAGCGAAAGTGAGGAGCTTATGAGAATAAGGTCTTTAACGTGACATAAGTTCATGTGAATTGATTTCAACCGTTCATATACAAATTAATGTTTATGGAAAGCAAATTAAGATGGAGATTTACAAAATCATTTCATATGAATTTGTGTCGGGATCTATTCTTTCAACTTTTGGCATATTCCAATATAGATTGGAAAGTTATGGTATCTTAAAGATCTGCAGAGAGTAAAATATGTTTGCTCTCTGCAAGTAGTTCCTTTCATATGTTGTACATAACATGTGCTTGAAGCAACAAAACCGCAACCCATTGAGCCTCTTGTCCCACCATCTCAATTTGAGGGGTTGTATTTCTCTCAAGCTTCAAAAGAGATGTGCATCGGCTACCCAAGCTCTTCATCAATATTGCCTTTCCCATTTATTGGCAGATCTTTCAAGCTTTGCTTTATATGCTCTACATCAATTGTTACTGCTTTATAGGTTTCTCTAATCTCTATAGGTTTCTCCAATCTCTGGTCGCTTGTATAGCTCTTCCAAATTTCCTGATCTATATATCATCATGAAATAACTTAATGAACAGAAAAAGAAAAATGGGAGTCTTTGGAAGAATAATTTGCACTTTGGTTAAGATGCATACTCTACATGATGCATGCATATTTTGAAGTATCAAAACTTTCTTTTGTTTGTGGCAGCTAATGGTATTAATAAAAAGGAAAAAAAAATACTCACCCTTTGAGATAAAAGCTGAGATTGTTTGGTCACAGAATTCAAACTCATGTTTGACATGTCCTAGTCCTTGAACAGTTTTTAATCGTTTCATGCATTTCTTTTTCACGTGTTATCCGAGCAATCAAGCGAAAAGTAGACAATCTAAGGAGAATCCATAGTACATGCCATAAAGTGCAAAATAATCTCAGAAATGTGATTATACAATATATAAGAAAGTGAGCAAGAAAGCGTGAAAAGGAGAATCCTTGAAATGGTTGTGGAGACGCGAATGAGAAGCTTCGAGATTCTTGAGGATTTCAGAGTGAGAACGATCGATCCAGCGCTTAAGATCGTCAACACCTAAAAAGGCAGGGATCTTGAGGTCTGAGATGTTGTTCGGAGCCCTGTGATTGAGAGGTGGAGAAGAGCTGCTGACCATAGCGTTAGTTAGAACAATATTAGAAGACAAAGAATATAAAAAGACAGAGAATGGAAAAAGAAGACGAAGAAGATAAAAAGACAGAGAATGGAAAAAATATGTGCACGATTAGCAAAGGAAAATGTCCAGTAAAACATCCTATTTATATACAAAATAATTTCGTAAATTAAACTTAATTTTGCGTATTAAAAATTCAAAATTATTTTTTAAAGCTTCTAACAATTAATAGCTTATCACTACAAACAAAAGTAATAATATACAGATACAATGAATGAACCATAGAGCACAAACAAATACATGACGTACAGTATAAATGAGGATTTAAGAAAAATAAAGGTATGGAGGGGAAGTTACCTTATCCTCAGCAGCAAGTAAAAGGAAGATTTTTTAGAAGAATATCAAGAGGCTCAGTGTCGGGTGCCATCAAGAGGAGAAATGCCTCTGTTTAGTGTCTTTTTTGAGCTGCAAATACAAATAGATGTTTTATGGTCGCTGAAACAAAAAGAAAAAGAAAACGCAATGACACTTAAAATGGTACAACCAATGAAATAAAAAACAGAGGCAAAGTAGTGATAATACCTTCATCAACACCCTTTTTGAGTTGAGTTGCTTGTAGTTGGCAGCTTGTTGAACAACGACCTCAGAAATGCCTCTGCTCAGTGTCTTGGTCGCTGAAAAAAAAAAAAAAAAAGAAAAGAAAAAACGCAATAACACACTTAAAATGGTAGAACCAATGAAATGAAATAAAAGCAGAGGTGAAAGAAAGTAGTGATAATAATACTTTATCAACATCCTCTTTGAGTTGAGCTGCTTGTAGTTGGCAGCAATTTAAGTGATAAAAACGCAATATTGTCATTGTGAGTTGAGCATCGGCCAAAGGTAACCATTTTTGTTGGGGGAGTCGTTGATTTGATTGAATGAAAGAAAACTTGAAGAAAACATTCAAGTCAGATTCAATGAATCGTTCAGAAGGAAGATAGGATAACGAAAAGGTTACCATTTTTATGATTTGATTGAAGGGTGAGAATAGAAGAGAAGGGGCTAGGGTTTTTCGCGGAGAAGAAAAGGTGAAAGAATGAGAGTTATTAAATGAATCCCGCCCAATTACATACATCTTATTCATAGGCAAAGTCGTCATTTATTTATTTTATATAATTTGAGTGCTTGTAGAATACACTTCACCATTACTGATGCAGCAAAAAGTGGAAAAGTTATACAGTTGTCTGCCACCAACGAATTTTGATATTATCCCACCCTTTTTACAATTTTTTTTTTTGCAAAAAGTAAAAGATTTCCAAAAGAGTTAACTTTTCAAACTCTTCTCAAGTGTGAACACAAAGTTGAGGATGAAGGACAGAGCAACACGTTAGCAAAGTTTCCAATGGTGGGTTTAAGATTATATATATTAAGAAGCCCAAGTGGGCTAAGAGTATGAGAAGAACCCAAAAAACCTAGAGCCCAATGAGCTTAGGGCTAGGGTTTCTTGGAACCTTTATAAATACTATCACTTAAGTCATCAGCCTCATAGGTCAAATCGAACATAGAGGTAAGCGTAGATCTGAAAAACGTGCACACACTTCTCCTTTTCCTTTGAG